CGTAGAATTAAGGCAGTTCTGACGGCGAAAGGGGGTCAAACACCGTATTAGTATGGTGTTCCTAATAATCCTTTAGGTGAGTGTGTATATATATATATATATATTTATATACACACACACACACACAATATAAATCTCCTACAGGGCTACATTATGCCTGCAATCAAAGCCAGGAGCAACAGGATTATAGAAGATTGTCAGATGAATTACAACCATTTATTAATAAATTCATACTTTTCACAGGTTTAATGCTCAATGAATAGCCTGATGTGTTATGGTTACGTAATGTTCATGAATGCTAGTAATTGCATGTGCATAGGTATGAAACCTGAATTAATCTTGTCCCTTAATTTCAAACATCCAGCGCTAATAGGTCAATAAAGCATGAAGTCAGCCTCGATGGACTGAATATATTTTCCACCTGACTACTGTCACTTTGGACTTGTTAAATATACTCATTAAAACATGAGTCAAATGAGCTAGACCTCTGCCTTCCGTTATAATTGCACTTGTGGTAAAACAGGTTTTAGAGTGTTTTTGCTTGCGTCCTCTGGTAGGATTTCTGCAAGTTTGGCTCTTTGAGTCATCGGCTTGACTTTCTTCCCTTTATCCCCTGTGGTTCCTGCCACTTGTTCACACATGAATAACCATTACATCACAATGACCTAAATGTGACACATGCTCCATCCCTCCTCTCTTTCCCTTGCTCCCATCTTACGTATTCCCCCTTTCAGTTTTGGCCACAGACCCCCCCAATCTGAATCCGCTGTATACCACCTGTCAGTATAGCTTCACATTTCTAGCCACCTGTGAGACCTGTTCTTTTTATTAGCAATTTTAAAGCTCGTCGGTGGTCGGGTGAGGATGCTGGTTGGATGACCTGGATCATGGACCATGTAACTTTACAGATTCCTTCCCCTCATCTGCATAGATGCCACACTGAGCTGCAGTACTGTACTGTAAGGTATGTTGTGTATACTTCCATCTGGCCAAAACAGGTCAGAGGCTCCTGATAAAAGCTTCATCTAAACTACAATATAACCTAGACGAACTGACTGGTTTAGTGTCCTCTCGTGCGAATGTAGTTTAAGACACAAATTTTGACCTTGTGTTTTTTTCCCTAGATGTATAACAATATGTTCAGATGACTGAATGATTGATCTTGTATGTATGTGTGTGTGTGTGTGTGTGTGTGTGTGTGTGTGTGTGGGGGGGGGGGGGGGGGGGGCAATCAGACAGTGAAATTTTGTCCCAGGCCCTGTTCACCAGCCCTGGGTGTGGAGATCTGGTTTTGGATGCTTTCTGTAATACAACCAGTGGTGGGAAGTTCAGGTCCACAAAGTAAAACTCCAGACCAAGATTTTGTTGAAACCAACCAGTTGAGTATAAAGACACCCTGTGCCTGCAATCTTGTGGTTGGCAGAGTGATTTCACTGTCGACTCCTTGAGCAAGGCCCCTACCCCAATTGCTACATCAACTGTTGAGCTCCCTCAATTTTGTGTTGCTTTGAATAATAGTGTTTGCTAAATAAATAAATGTCATTGCAATGGTTGTGGAACTTGAACACTTTATAAACATCTCAACTTCTGCTCCAAACTCTTCCTAATTAACATGTTATTGATCCCTGTGGGGAAATTGCCTCCCTGAACTTGCTTTATTGGTAGAGTAAGTTGTCTGCAAAGGGCAGCTACCCATAGCGGTGACCAGGGAGCTGGGGGTTAAGGGCTTTGTTCAAGGACCCACAGAAATGCTGAGGCTGGGTTTAAACCAGTCACCTTCTGATTACAAGCACACAGGCTTAACACACTGAGTCACACACTGCCCCTGGGTCATATGTTCATTCCATCTAATTAGCTCTGGGTCTGTAAGCTGAAGCACATATGGGTAAAAGTATTTACAATACAGAATATCAAAGATTCCACAAATCACAGAATGTCACTGTGCTGCTCACTTTAAAAGGCACCCTGAATTTTTGTTTCCGGGTGGCATGGAGGACTCACCTTGACAGGCTGAGTTGTTGTGGTTGGGCTCAAAGCCCTCATCGCAGATGCACTCTCCGACTGGCACTATCCAGTCGCCTTCTGCGTTACAGTGCATGCGAGGTATCATTCCTCCCTGCGGTTGGCTGTGAGGCACGCACATGCCATCCACAGGCACCAGAGCAGTGGGCTCTGCCCCTGAGGGAGTGGCCGGAAAAAACGCCATGTTTTGATTCCCGGATGGGCAGCGGCGGTAAAAGATGGACACGCCCATTAGGGACACGCAGGCTCCACTGTCCACTATGGCTAGGACAAATCTAGAAGGGGCATAGTGGGGGTGATCAGGGCTGTGAACACACCATGTGCATCAACATCAAAGAGCAATACAGAACGTGATAGGACATACCCAGCCCGTGTCAGTGGTGCAAAGCTACGAGTCTTGATGTTTATTTGTTGGTACCGGTCTGGCTGGTACTGGTTAGGCAGACTAGGCTCCACCCGGCTGAAGCTTTTGTCGGCAGCAATGGTGTCAATCTTAATCCATCCCTCCCTCGTGTCTTTCTCTCCATTGCTTGTCTGAACAGGTAGGGGAGGAGGCAGACAGGGATCAGGAACTGGGTATGAGGTGCTGAGAGATCTGCAATCCGTTAGAATAACGTCCGTGAAGTGCACGCCCCCAGTCCTGAGGCACTGTGCCCCTCCCAGCGGTCTCACCTGCCCCCCCCAGGCGCGCTCCACCTCTCTCTGGGAGTCGGCCTGCCTGTAGTACAGAGTGAGAGTCTCCCGGCAGGAAGGTGAGGGTGAGCGCAGGCTCGAGCAATCCCGCACCGAGAAGCGCAGGGTCACGAAGATCCGGGGTGCTGACTGCCGCAGCAGGAAGGGCGTGGCCAGCCAGTTGTCTTGGAGACGGGGGTTCGGGTTGACATGACACACCTCGAATGTGCGGATGAGTCTGCCCCGGTCATCTCGAATGCTCACCTCATCCCACTAGGAGGGAGAGATAGGAAAAGACGGTTTAATCAAGCCAAAGGAGGGAGAGATGTGTCTTATTATGACATCATGCCCCTTCTTCTGGAACCCCAGATTTGCATGGAAATGGAGCCCCGTTGGAATCAGGGTTTCTCCTTCATGTTGCTGGTTATTGAAAGGCAGTGTGGGTTTTGCTTTGTTCCACTGTGGCCTGACTGACAGTCCTTATCTGTAGGGAACACACTGGATTGCAGGGAAAATACTCCCCAAACTACAACGTAGAGGGTGTCGGCTAGTTAAAAAAGCTGCAGATAAACATCTACAGATAGTGTCTGCGCTGGGTCAACAAGGTGGCTCAGTGGCACTCTGGTCTCATGCCTGTGAGACGAACAGTCGATTCCCAGCCGACTCTCTGTGTAATATGGTCTTCCCCTGCAGTCCATAGATATGCAGTTATGTTAATCAGTGTCCCTGAATGGTCTGTATGGGTGTTTGTGTCCTCCAATGGCCTGGCATTCTGTCCAGGGTGTCCCCCCTGCCTTGTGCTGTATGCTGCCTGAGGTTCCTCCCCCAGCACCATGTTTTGATGAGCGGTAGGATGATAGATGGATATTGGAATCCTCCTGGATTTGTTAAAATGTATGGGAAAAGGGCCACACTGCTGCAGCTGATGTGTAATAATTCACTTATCCGATCAGTATAGACCTGTTATCATGCAAACGGAAAGCAGCGGATGTTGTTTCAACTATACAACAAAGAAAGAGAAGGCACTTTCTGCGAGGGAACAGAGAATTAAAGTCTACAAGAGATAGTTATTTAGACATAAAAAGAGAGCAACATGCACTTTTATTTTCTAAGCTATCCATCATTTATAGGCTTGTGCATGAGATGAAAGCGAGATTTTTGGCAGAGCGCGGCAGCCAAAGCAGGCAGGCCAGTGCAGGCCTCACCCAGCGAGAAGCATCATTCTCTTTTGCTGGTGCTGTGTTTCTCATGGGGGGGGGGGGGTGGTGATAAACTTCAGCAGTACTGCAGAAGACACGCAGCAGGGACTCACAGTTTTACACATAGAGATCGCCGTTGGTACTACATAACACCTGAATGCTGACACGGCAGCGAGGGCGCTGAGGATCTTTTATTTATACTTTGAATAGCACATTATGTCTCACCATTAACGGCAGTGCATGAAGCAGCGCCACAGATGTTGCTGGAGCAGGAAAAAATGGAAGTAAAAGAACTGGGAGACGGAAAAGTGAGGAGAAGCAGGAGCTGTGAACAAAGGCGAGGGATGATGGTAAAAGGCACGGCTGCGAGAGATCACAAATAAATCATTTAACTGGCTGGTTCTGCCTAACCCCCCCCCCCCACCCCCCCGCTCTATAAGCCCAGAAGGGGACAAGGATGAGGAGGATGCTGGCAGCAGAAGAGAGACGGACAGAGAGATCGGCAGGAAAGGAGGCTAGTGGGAGATCACAGGGCTTTGTTTCAGGGCTGAGGCTGGGGAATGGGTCCCTTCGGTCCGTCTGCGTCTCCGGAGCAGGGAGGAAGTTCAGGCTCGAGTGGAGACGAGGCCGAATGACGACGAAGAAGGAGGACAGAAGGAGAAAAGGGAGGAGATTCAAAGGATGGATGGGAACCTGAGGCAGAGTGCCAACTGCTGGCTCTCTGTTTGACCTTCTTCCTTTTTAACCAAAGGTCAAAGGTCATCCACAGAGTTATTTCGTGTCTCCCCAAGGCTGGTTCAGAACAATTTAACGTGCACAAACAGGCATGTGGGGAGGTGGGGGGTGGGTGATTTGGGCTATCTGAGTGCCTGCCCCTTTTGGCAAAAGTATTTTAAGTGCCTCCTTCAAAAAAATCTGTGTATCTGCATATCTGCAGGAGCCCGGAAATGGGAGTGGTCACCGGTGGTGATGATGCCGGGGCCGGGGGTCTGAAGTGGCAGATACTCACACCAGTATCTGGGTAAGTGGTCCAGCCCAGCTCACTCGCAGTCTCTGTGGTATCCAACAGCATCACTAAAACAGAAAAACAAGGTGAAAGGTGACATTTCTCTTTATCTACATCAATTATCTTTCGATTATTATTTGGAAATGGATGTGCGTCTGTCACTAGGCCCTCAGCGGGATGCCTGCTTCTCTCTTGCTGCTCTAATGCATTTTGTGCATAAATAACAAGTTAGCCTTTATATGCACATCCGTGAAAGCATACAAGCATACAAGTTAGTTTTTGAACAAATTGACAATTTATCAATCATTTAGGCATAAACTGTCGAAAAAAAAGAAACATTTTATATTTTGCCTGAAAGAACTCAGTTCAGATAACCGTGATAAGTGCCAATAAAAATGCATAACAGCTGGAAAAAATAATTGAAGCTGCTTTCAAAGCAAAACACGTGATACGAATAATTAAGAAATAATAATTGCAGTTTCAAACTGAGAAAAAGACAACGTTATTAATAATTCTTATAGGTTTAACTCCCATTCAACTGAGTACATCCAAATCGAGGAAGGAATATTCAAGACCCAATTAATCCATTGACAGGAGCTCTTTCTCATTGAGGTTTTCACTAACGGAGAACATTCTTGAACATGTTCTCCCCATGTTGTTTCCACCCTGTAGTCAAAAGACATCATTTGGAGTGCGTGTATGCACCCCAACCTGTGCCCAGTGATGGACTAGCATCTGGTCCAGAGTGTCCTCTGTCCTTTACCCTGTGATGGACTAGAATCCCATTCAGGGAGTACCCCAACCCTGCAATAAACTAGCATCCCAACCGGGGTGTCCACCGAATCATACTCTGTGATAGACTGGTATCCCATTCTGGTTGTCCCCTGAATCATACCTTGTGATGGACTGGCATCCCATCCATGGTGTCCATACTTGGTGCCCAGTAATGGACTGGCATCCTGTCTAGGGTGTACCCCAGTCTGTGCCCTGTGCTGCCACAACCCCTGCCTGTCCAGAATAAGCGCTTGGAAGATGGATGGATCGCAAAAAAAATAGATCGATGTGTCATTTGTGTTTGATGTAAGCTATTTCTCACATGAAGGGCTGATGCCTAAATGCACTCTCTTGTGCATAGAGGAATGAAGCACACAAACAGTTATTACCTTAATAATGGTACAATAAAACCATCCCTGGATAAAAACAGTGACACAGAAAGAAAAACAGCCCGCATTGCCTTCTCAATCTAATTCTAATTCAATTTCTATTCTAAAATCATTTTATAAACCTACATCTGCGTTGTTGATGTCGCTTTATTTTGCTGATGTCCCTCCTTGTCGCTCCCTCTTCCTTTCGAGCGCAGACAGATTTTCGCGGATTATATTCACAGATGGACACTATTCCAATCTCGCGTTCAGTCCATCGCCCCCACCCCCCTGCCTCCCCGTCTGTCTCCTATCAGGTTATAGCGAATCAAAGGACTCCAGTTTAAAGTGAGTGTTTGAAGAGCGTCATGCTAAATATTATTGAACGGGACTGATTTTTAATTACATTAGTATTAACAACACGTTAGCACAGGCACACACAGATACGCAAACAAGACGTTTTAATTTGTTCGTTCTTTTCAAGTAATCTATTAATTAATCTATCTTATTCTATCCAGTCTCAATTCCCGTTCCCCCACCTCCAACACGCGCCGTTATTCTTTTCAGATTAATTCTAACAGTCAAATAATTTTTGTGTTTTCGAAGTTAAGTAAAATTGCTCAGTGTTTAAGGTGTCGTAAATTTTTCACTTTTTTCCCGCGAGTTGCAGTTCACGCTGCAGGAGGCAGGATGGTAGCAGTGCAGCTCGCTCCACGTTTCGCTGGTGGCGTGAGGTAAAGAACCTGATGGAGCAGCTGAAATGCCGTGTTTATCATCTCATCTGTAGAGCTGGCTTGACAGTGCCTAGTATATACGTGCGAGATGTTTTTTAAATGTAAGTACCTCTGGTACAGGGAGACGTTATAGTGTCACACAGCTCCTTGCTTTGTGGAATCTGAAACTGATGCTGGGTGATCCTATCTAAATGGGGAGTGAGTGGTCAGTCGCCTGGGACACACACACGTACACACCGCTTTAACCCCCTCCTTCCAGCCTGCTCTCTCTCCATCTGTCCTTCCATGTCCCCCACTCCTGTGTTTCTCTATTATTCATTGCTAAAGTGACACTAAGCTTTGAGGGGGTTTGAACAGGAGGTACATTTCGTTCCATTATTGATGTGTCCCACTGTTTGGCAGGCAGAGCCCATTTGAGACATGGGGGGGGGGGGGCGTTCAGTGCATTAACCCTTTCTCTCTCGGAGTGTAGCTGGGGGGTTCACAGCTCCATCTCATGTGAATCGACACCAAATGCATACCCTTGCTCAGTGACAGCACTGGGATGTTACACAACAGCGCTGAGCATTCTGGGATAGCTTTCCATCAGTATGAGTTTAGCTGGCAACAAACAGCTTCCAGTTTCTCATTACAATGATATTAACTGCTGCCCTTCACATTCGTCCACGCCTGTTGAGCGTCAGCCTGGCTCTGCCCACCCATCCACTAATTCGATTAGCTTGGCTGGTGACAGCCTTTTTAGCAGTGGAGTGGAAAGAGTTCTCCAGGCCATCAGCATATATGCGGCGTGCCCCTTCTCCCCATTCGCTTTCACTGGCATTGTTTATGTGCTCCTTGTGTCCTTTAATCTGCATTCCCTTAGGACATCACCCACCCCTGTCTTCTGGTAATATTCTCCAGATGTGAGAATCCACACAGAGAAAATCCAGAATGTTCTCCATCATCATTACCACAAACAGCTGGCTGAGAAGCTGACAGGGACAGTGAGGTATTCCTCATAGGTCCATACAGACGTAGGCATGTCTACCAGTGATGCTGCAGGTCCATTACCCTTAGTGATCCTGTGGCGCCTGGGGAGGGGGGGGTGGCCTGTTATATAATTCATGAAGTCCGTTTCCTCATTCCTGCCCTATAGGCCGCAGGTGACCCCCCCACTCGCTGTTGCACCTCAAGTTAGCATGTTTCTCAGCAGTCACTACGACACCAGCCCGGGGCGCTCCAGACCCTGGTTCTGTCTGGGTACCAGATAGTAGTGCCGGCAGAACCAGTTCCATCACTTCAAAGCTTGGTTTGAAGCTATCCATCATTTATATATTATAACCAAATTATTGTTTGGTTAAGTGAGTATCTCTATGGAAATGGGATTCCTTTAAGTACAGATTGGAGGACCCTTAACAAGAAACCATATTGGCTCAAAGAGGCCCTGAGCACTGGGCTGACTGGGGGCCCTCAGACTGCCTCAGAATAGCCTCTAGGAGCCTGGCTGCCTCCTACATCCTGTATCTTATATAAAAGTAACAAGCCTCAGACACTCAACACTGCACCAAATAGTGTCAGACTGAGGATACACAAAGCATAAAGCAGGACTCGTCAGACAGACATGATGGCTTTTACTGTAGCGATGCCGTGGAGCTGAATAGACTTTATTGGCACTTGGTTTTAATTTTTGTGTTGTCATTTATCAGTCAATGTAGCAGACAGTACTGGGTCTTTTCTGCAGGACAGAAACAGAAAATGTTCCCAGTAAATCTGCTGGATCCACTTCTGCTTGCCACATTGAGAGGGAGAGTGAAACAAGGCAGAACGTGACGGGCGGGCAAATCATCAACCACCGCAGCAAATTGGAATGGCACTTCGAATTGGCTATGGGAAGACGGTATGCATGCTCTGTACGTCTCACTAAGCAGAGGATTAGTGCTTCATTCACAGATATATCCAAAACAGACTGAAGACCAGACAGGTGTGGTGTGCTGATGTCTTTTGGGCTCACGATCCTTCTGGTTGAGATAAGTCCTTGAGAGGCAGGAAATGTTTGATCTCTGCCAATAGTCCCAAGAAGCCGCAACCTCAAAGACAACAACACACTGACAAGACAACAAAACTCTGTCTGAAACAGCTGTGGGATCGATTTTAATGCCCCATTACAACCTTGATGAGACAAAGAGGTGCTCAGGTCATTATAAGAACTACAGGCCGCTGGGAAAATATGATGAGAGGCCGCAGGGTGATCGGATGACGAGAGCTGATTGGCAAGATGTGTCCTGGAGAGCACAGCAAATGGATGGCAAAAGGGAAAGGTAGGGTTCTCCATCATCAAGGGTGCGTCACAAATGATGATAGAAACACCAGGTCATGCCCAAGTACACACAGACATCACATGAGAATGTTTATGTAAGGCTGCTTTGATCTGAAAATCATTGGTTCAAATCCCAGAATCAGCAGCGTGATTTCATGTTAAGCATCTGCTAAATAAGATGTATCTCGCTGGTAACCTAAAAATGATAATATAAACAAACACTGGTATGGGGACAGTGTGTGTGCCTGTGATCAGAAGGTCATCAGTTCAAATTCCATGGTCAGTAGAGTGCTTTCAAGACCCAGAAACACCCAACTGCTTCTGGGAGTGACTGCTACATAAAAAGCATATGCAGTCAACGTAAAGACAGCACGTGTTAGTTGCTCTCTCTTCCATTGATCTGGTCTCATAAATGCCAACTTCTGGGTCCAGTAATAAAGCTGAATGATATTAAACAGAAGCACCTAGACGACATGGGCTGCCAAACACATACATCAATACGTGTAGAAGCTTGTCATTTTGGCCCCATTGCTCAGAAAAAGGCACCCCCAGCAAGCCTTATTTCATAGCAACAGGCTTGGCTTTCTTTCTTTCTTTCTTTCTTTCTTTCACTTTTTCCACCCACTCATACACATTGAGTTATTCCACTCATTTAACAGCTATCCATCACAAAATATGGATTGCAGCCTTGGTTACACTGTCTTGGTTAAACAGCTAGGCTGCATCCAACAACACATACCCACAAACCCCAGCTACAGCCCTCGCACAGTCATCACAAAGTTGCACATAGCATTAAAGTTTAGCTGAGAACGGGGTAATAAAAGCACAAGAGAGCTGGGAAGGTCTACAATCTGGTTGAGGAAAAATATTCTAAATCTAGTTTTAGTTTATTGGATGGGGGGGGGGCAGATGAACTATTCTGGATATGGTTCCAGAATGTAGATTTCATGAATGGGGGAGGTCAGGCATTAAGAAGGCAGCACAGATTCACTAGTTATCCATCTACGTTCCGTCTTGTGCTCCTTTGTTTTGAAAGCTTGGCATGGCCGGCGTGCCCAACATCTTGCCAACAGAGCCCGTCTGAATTACCCGGAGATGCTCTGAGCTGCGGGTTGCTCAAACTGTCAGATATGAAGTCAATCTCTCCCGCACGGCGACGCACACAGCTACCAGCACATGTAAAGCGAAGACACACACACACGCGCGAATACACACCGGCAGTGGGATGAATTAAAGCCGCTCCTTACCTTCCTCAGCTAGATTTGGCTGGAGAAACAGAGAGAGAGAGAGAAAGACACTCCACATCTCCACTTGAGAATAACACTGACAGTGGGAGGGAGAGAGAGGGGGAGAGAGTGAGAGAGGAAAAGAGGGAGAAGGAGGAGTCTGCTCTTTTCTATATCATAGTAAGGAATGGAGGGAGGGAAAAGGTGGAAGAGAGAAACACTAGCAAAGAAAAAAAAAAGGGGAGATGTCCAATCAAGTATGTAAACAATCCACGAGAGAAAAGGATAGACATGCAGTGGAAGCAAATATTAAGATGAACAAAAGAGTAGAAAAAACAAGTTTGGTGAGTCCATATAAGTGTCTCAACATGCTGAGGAAAATCTCCCCTGCTGCCTAATAACTGAGATAGGCTGAAAGATATAATTACAATGTCTGGAATTTTCTGCTGCACAAAATTTAACTGTGAGTAGGTAGCTAACCTCTGGCCCTCTATTTTATTTTTCTTTAAATTCAACTCATCATCATGGTTTTACCTTTTCATTCTGTCATTTAGTGGTCTGTCATAATCCAAAGGTCTTATTATTCAATACAGGGTTACAGGGGGGTCTGGAGACTATTCCAGGCAACATAGGGCACAAATCAGCGAGATGCTCTGGGTGGGATATCACACAACTGCAGGATACACATACACACATTTATATACATAATAATGCTATATGGGCAATTGTCAGATCCCAATTTGCCCAAACACTTTTTTTTTGGACTGGAACTTTATGGAAAAAAAATATAGATACTCTTCTCACAGAGAGATTCAAACCTCTAAGTCTGCCCACTAATATGTCATGATTTGATATATATAAATATTTACACATTATCTATTTACCAATTAAGTACATGCACAGTGCCACATATAAGGCCACCTGTAAACAAGTGACCCCTGGTGGACATGCTCAGCTACTGCAGGCCATGGATACAAGTTGATAAACTTCTCTTAGAACTTGGTCATAAATCTGTCCAGTACTGCGCTGATAAGATACTCTGACACAGACTATTCTGTTTGTAACAACATGTACATCTATATGGGTTAATATCACATTCTTATTAGTATGTCTTGGGAGGCTTGCATATAGAGGCAGTCTGTGGTTCAGAGGGCTAAACCTGTGTACCTATTACTGAAAGGTTTCTGGTTCAAGTCAAGCAGAATAGCCACATGTCAGTGGGCCCTTGAGTAAGGCCCTAAAACCCCAGCTCATAGGGTACTACAAGGTGGCTGATCCTTTGCTGTTATCCCCAAGCTTGCACTCAAATGTATGGAGAGCAAGATGGTGCAAAACAGAAAGAGAATTTCCCCCCAAGGGATTTATAAAGAATTTGTATTTTATTTCATGGTATAGCAGACTGAATCATGGAAAAGTAGCACATACTCCTGATCACTGTTATTTTCATAAACATAAATATTGAATATTTATTTCAGTATATACAACTACATACAACATATAATAACATTTATCTGCACAAAAATATCTCCACTTAAATATATTTTTTACCTTTTACCATTTCAGCAATACTTTACTCGGGAAATTTGAAAATGCTTTAGTTTTCATAAACATAGATGAACCATCATCCACAAGCAGGCACATACATTTGACATGACAAATTTAACAATTGAGTCATATTTTTTAAGGATCCTGTGTTGGTGCATCATGGGAGGAGGTGGCAAAGTACAAACACATTTACAGCATTAAGTGCAGGAGTAGAGGAGAAGCATGATTGTAGAAGGAGACACTTTAAAGCAGAAGAAAGCATAGAGTACACAAGATATAAAAGGCACACTCAGCGTCTGATTAAGATCCACACATTGAGGACAGATACAAACAATCAAGAACATGAGCAGTTTAGCAGCGTTGTGTGTAACCCATTCCATGAAAATATTAGATGCTCTATATATATTGCATATAATACCACTTGAGGGAAGCCTGAGAACAAAGGAGGTAGAGAGAGACACTAAAGCAGGAAATACACTTCAAGACAAAAGTTAATAACAAATGGTAACATTGCCCAACATGAAACCAAACATACAATTTCACATGAAACCACAAGGTGATACCTCTAAATTTAAGTTAAAATTTGTAAAAGAAACCTAAATATTAAAAAATAATCAAGTCAATTAAAGTTTATAAAATTGCTTTAATTTAACATTGGCATTTAATTTAAGTTTTAAACATTACAAACCCAAAATATCATGACTAAACTAGACCGGGGAAGAAAAACACAAAAATAAAATTTCAGTGACATATTAATAGCCTAAAGTATTTTGCAATAATTCCATAGTTCCATCCATCCATTCATCAATCTACTAACATCGTACCACAGTCACATCTGCACAGAAATAAATTTTCAATATAATGATTTCTTTTACACATTTGTTGAATGATAATACAGTGGTACCTCAGTTCTCGAACTCATTATAACTCGAATTTCTTAAAAGTCGAACCAACCATTTCAAAAAAAAATTACCTAGAACTGGATCTGAATCTCAGAAGTCAAACCCTGAACGCCAACCTAAGATAACTTGTACGCGCGGGGAAATAAGTCACGCGGCACGTCTCTCAGCGGAAACAAAGGGTAACACTTCAGTCTCAGCCTCACATTTGCTGTGATAGCACCGTGCGTGTTTATACTAACTGAATACATATATTTAGACAGTAAAAATACATTTAGACAATGATAGACAGTAACAGTAATTATTATTATATCATAAAATACATTTAAAAATAAAGATTTCTTTATTTCTTCTTTATTTCCTATTAATTATTTTAATTTTAATAATAAACCATTAATATGTTTAATTATAATAATATTGTTGTGCCGAGCAGGGACGGAAAGGAGACAAAGGCGCAGACGTCAGGGTATCGGAGAATACGGGGTTTAATTACAGGTAAGGCAGGCAAAACGCAGACGGACAATACAATGACCGGACTGGGGAAGCAAACTGAAACGCGGACGGAATACAGAGAGCTAATAAAAACAATTAGAAACAGCTGATCACACGGGGATTCCACACGGGGTTAACGAAGGGGCGTGGCACACGGATGGAGCGGACGATCGGGGGAGGACACATTGTTTTTTTTAACTTTACACATTGTTTGGATACATTTATTTTCTTACTTTACAAATTATTGTTTTGATAAATGTGCTTAGATGGCGGCTTTAGTACAGTATATGCTCTTCTTGTTTTATCTGGTTCATTTTGTGTTTAAATGCTAAAAAAACATATTTAGGTGTAATTTTTGGGGGGCCGGGAACCAATTAATTGGTTTTCCATTATTTCTTATGGGGAAAATTCGATCAGAACTCGAACTTTTTAGGATTCGATCCGGAGTTCTGAACGGATTAAGTTCGAGTTCTGAGGTACCACTGTACTGCATTCACACCTCATTCCTTTGTCATACCCATTCATCCTTTTTATACTGTAGCATACAATAAATATATTTTTTTTAATTATAGTTTTACATTACTTCACTACTGGTCACACATTAAACATAAAGGTAACACGTTTACTTCACTGGGCATATAGTAATATACTATATATAGTTATGGATTAATTAACCACAAAGTAAGTCTTAGTTACATACTTATCTTATGTTAATTTATCATTAATGAATCATGATGCATGTTTTACCCCAAACAGTTACCATATCTGTGAATTATTTCTGAACTAATGAAGGTAGTACTGAAAGTACTAAAGGAACTACTGAAGGAACAACTCATGAATAACACAAGTTAAATACTGACATATTTGTTCATCATTAATGAATCATAATGCATCTTTCATCCCAAACAGGTACTATATTTGTTACTATATCTGTTAATTCTGTAAACCTTTGTGAACTACTGAAGGAACAACTGAAGGAACAAGTCAAAAATAACATGTGAAATACTGATCTCATGTTTGCTCATCATTAATGAATCATGACACATTTTACCTCAAGTAGCGACTATATTTGTTCTGGATTTGTTCATGATTTGTAATTCAGTAGGAAGTGAGTTTTACTAAGTATTTATGCCCCGTCAAGTAAAGTGTTAACCACATAAGCATATGAATTTTTTGCTGTTAATGTATACTGGTTCTGATCAGAGTATAACTACTGCAGAGGAATGAATTAATTGCGTTTAGCACATTGCACAAGGCATTATTTGTACATTTCTATCCCAAAAATAGAAAAATGCTTGCTTAAATTAAAGTAAAAAATTAAGAAAATAAATAATCAGTTTTCCTAACAAATATATAACACCACATAGGTGCTCTGATATATAAATGATAGCAAAAGATTGCACACTTTACAGGAGTAACAGTGTTTCGTGCCCATCTGTTAGTAAAATGCCCATCTGTATCATTGTATTCTATAATCAATCAATGCCCCACAAGCACAGTTATCTAAGTATCCTAAATACACCACGACATCTTCACAGCAATGTCAAAGCATAATTAATTTCCATGCTGTCCCTTACCCCTGACTAGTGGAGACAAGGGAAGCTCCGCCTCCTCTAAAACATCATGAAATTTTTTGTCAAATATGTTCTATTGTATTTACATTGCTATTACAAAGATGGTGTTAGAATGTATTCAGCTTCATAGCTAGTTCATTCAGAATCGGCAATAATTTCTTGCAAGTTGTCTAACATGATTTTTTTTTCTCATACATTACATTCCTGTGGCAGTACGCGCCAGTAAAACCCACTGAAGTGCAGCTTCACTGGATTTCAATGGCACTTCTGTTTTCAGGGCAGCAAAGCTTGAAGTTTATTGGGTAAATGATTCAAAGCGTCATTTCCAAGGAAGCTCAGTGGCTCTGGGAGTAAATGAGGCAGTGGGCTGGCCAGGATGCTGGGGTCCGCATGATGATTGGAGGAACTGTCAAAGTGGCTACACCTCATTTTAACTGACAGTGTTTTGAAATGATACTTCAGCATCGGAGAGTATCAATCCCAGATATGTGCTTTCATTTTTTCAATTTTCATTTGTACATATTCTACTGTAAATAAAAACATAAATATAGCGTTCTTACGTCTGCTCCTTGTTTCGTTACTAGGTTACTAAAGTTCATTTGTTTATTTCAAACTAGGCCATGGGGGGGGGGACTAGCCAGTTCGGGGGGGGGCAGGGGGACTAGCCAAGGTCAGCTCCTCAGAAAAGAAGGCCACCAGCCGCCACTGCCCCTGGGTGTGGTCCTGGTCAAGACAATCTCCTGAACTCCAAACTGAACGTCAGAATGGTAAAGAAAGGTGATTTAAGCAATTTTGAGCGTGGCATGGTTGTTGGTGCCAGACGGGCCGGTCTGAGTATTTCACAATCTGCTCAATTACTGGGATTTTCACGCACAACCATTTCTAGGGTTTACAAAGAATGGTGTGCAAAGGGAAAAACATCCAGTATGCGGCAGTCCTGTGGGCGAAAATGCCTTGTTGATGCTAGAGGTCAGAGGAGAATGGGCCGACTGATTCAAGCTGATAGAAGAGCAACTTTGACTGAAATAACCACTCGTTATAACCGAGGTATGCAGCAAAGCATTTGTGAAGCCACAACACGCACAACCTTGAGGCGGATGGGCTACAACAGCAGAAGACCCCACCGGGTACCACTCATCTCCACTACAAACAGGAAAAAGAGGCTACAATTTGCACGAGCTCACCAAAATTGGACAGTTGAAGAAAAAATGTTGCCTCGTCTGATGAGTCTCGATTTCTGTTGAGACATTCAAATGGTAGAGTCAGAATTTGGCGTAATTTGAATTTGGCAGAATGAGAACATGGATCCATCATGCCTTGTTACCACTGTGCAGGCTGGTGGTGGTGGTGTAATGGTGTGGGGGATGTTTTCTTGGCACACTTTAGGCCCCTTAGTGCCAAAAAAGCTCGAATCATTTCAAATTGGTTTCTTGAACATGACAATGAGTTCACTGTACTAAAATGGCCCCCACAGTCACCAGATCTCAACCCAATAGAGCATATTTGGGATGTGGTGGAACGGGAGCTTCGTGCCCTGGATGTGCATCCCACAAATCTCCATCAACTGCAAGATGCTATCCTATCAATATGGGCCAACATTTCTAAAGAATGCTTTCAGCACCTTGTTGAATCAATGCCACGTAGAATTAAGGCAGTTCTGAAGGCGAAAGGGGGTCAAACACCGTATTAGTATGGTGTTCCTAATAATCCTTTAGGTGAGTGTATATACGGTTATATGCTTACTGCCACAATTTGCCTATTCATTATTTTATTCTTTCTCTCCACGCAATGCACTTTCCAGTATTAAGTAAAAAAGTTTCATCTGAGGATGAACACACTGCACTCTGACAGATAGCAGTAGATTGGTCCATATTTCCTTAAAGTGTAGCTCTAGTACAACATCCACTATACAGTATTAAAATGTACTGTATCCTAAACAGTTACCAGTGGTATGGTAGTTAGCAATTAAAAAATAAATAAATTAATATCTGCTCATAAAAACTAAATTTCCTAAACCTTATAATCAAGGTAGTACACATACTGTACAGTAGTAGTGGTTATTTTACCTTCCTGAACCATATGTGGTTAATCTTTAAATCCTGTTATGTATACTTTCCAAAAGATACAATTCAAATGCTTTTTTCAACCATTCATATATTATGTCTGCTAAATCTGTTTGTTCTGGTCTGTAGTCTTATGTTCCCCCAATAAACTCCACCATGGGAACCTTCTCAGTGGTTGGTGATACCGGCAGGGTCGTGGCATTCTCAGGGGGCAGGCTCGACACGGTGTTCTCAGGTCTGGAGAAACCACAGGCGATTTCCTCAAAGGTTCTCCCCTTGGTCTCGGGAACACGGAAGTATGTGAAGATGAAGAAGAATATGAGGAGGATCACAAAGATGATGAAGACATAGGATCCACACAGCTCCTGGAAACCGAAGAGGAAAGAGGGTAAATTGAGCAGTAAGATCTGGCTGTAAGAGGAGAGCAGGTTTGGAACCAAAGGCATAGATTTGGCTATGGATGGTAGGGACATGCCCCTTCCAATATTGTGGGAGTACCCTTTGTGTTTAGGAGAGTGGGAGGTCAGGGCTGATTTGGTCCCTACCAATGCTGAAACCAAACCAACATCCTTGTATGGGACTGCAGAAGGAAGACACTGACATTCTCTTTATGTATGCTTGTTTGGTATTTCGGAAGAATTAGGTCTTTGTTTGTGCCTGGATGCGTGACTACGGATCAAGAAAATATTTGTAACAAGAATTACTTTTTTCACAGCGTAGTTCAGAGAGTGATGTTATGTTGTCATTTTGAAATATATTTGTGTGTATTTACGCACTACAATATTCAAATCAAGGGTGTCATCTATGGTTAGTACTGAGGCCTCACACTGATGGATTTGGGGGTTTGAGTTTTGCCTCAGATTCTGTGTGTGTGTTTATCACACCTGTCAACACTCCTAAATAAGTTGGTTCTTATTTTGCTCCATGCTGAACTGTCTTTACTACCTGTGCTTCTGCTTGATTGCTACCAGTTTTTAGAATCTTGCTTGTTTTCTGACCCAGCTTGTGGAACTTCAATTTTTTTTGTATGTCATTCCAGATGGCTTCTGACTTTCAACAGTATTTGACACATAATACTTTGATTATGATTGGTGTCCGTTATCCAGGAGTATAATTCAATAAACCTGCCTACTGTACACTGGATCTCAGCCTTCTTTCATTACAGTGTGGAGTTCAAGGTTCTCCCAGTTTTGACATGGGTGTTCCCTAACCTCTCTATGGTTATGGTCTCCATCCACAATCCAAAACTATGCAGTTTGCTTAATTGGTGTCTTTAAATTGCCTCTAGTCTTTGATTGGTAATCTCTTCATGGGCTCACGCCCTTTGTTTCCTGAGATAGGCTCCTGAAATTCCCTTTGGTCTGTACTGGACAAATGATCAAGTTACAAAGTGCTCTTCCACAGTCAGCTAGAGGGACCAGAAAGTTAACATACTGGTCAACTAGCAGAAATGCATCTGTATGACATTACCTCCAGTTTTGGGAAGGTAAGCCCAACAATGAAGTTGGCCGTCCAGTTGGAGCAGCCAGACACGGCCATGGCAGCGGGTCGTGGCCCCTGAGAAAACAGCTCGGCCACAATGAACCAGGGGATTGGCCCAGGTCCCATCTCAAACATGGCTACAAATCCAAACACTGCCACAATAGCCACATACTTCATCGGGGGTGTTGAGTCCTGCTCAAATAGCGAGAAAGAAAGGATGAGAAAGACAGACAAAGCCGCCAGTTTAGCCAAGTAGTGGGCTGTGATATAAACATTTTTACAATCATAATAATAAAAAATATTCTTCATAAATTTATATTAAATAAATTGACGGGTATAACAGGTGAAACCTACCACCAGCTGGAGGGAGACAGCCATGATAAGACCACAGACAGCCATTCCACCCAATCCAAGGAGGTGCAGAGTTCTGCGTCCCGCCCTCTCCACCAGAAAGAGCTGATATGCAAATCCAGACAAGCTTTCAGTACAACTAACATTAGCAATGGAATGTTACTGGAATCTGCAATGTGTAGTTGAAATGAAAGTGAATACTCACAGATACAACAGTGAACACTGTGTTAACTGCACCTGCCCCAATAGTGGCGTAGATAGGTTCAGGTATACCTGCATTTGCAAAAATACCTGTCGAGTAGTAGAAGACCTAAGAAATAAAGGAACAACAAGCATGAATATGAACAATAACAATCATGGACTCAAGCATACCTCTTTGAACAAATCATCAGCAAGCTGAAGCACCTTCAAAGTGCCTCAGTCCTAGTACTGACAATCGGCGATCCGAGAACATGAAGTCCACCTACCGCGTTGATCCCTGAGAGCTGCTGGGAGAGTTGCAAGATCATGGCGATGATGATGGGCTGCCTGTAGGCGTGACTGCGGAACAGCTCAGGGATGGTGACCTTTTTCTCCATGGCCAACTTCATGCTCTCTTCCTTCATCTCTTGGATGTCGGCACTCACGTCCTCGCAACCTCGCAACCGCACAAGCACTGAGGATGAGACACGTGAAAAAGTGTGAGAGAGTCATGGGGATTTGGTGGTCATGCCTCTACACTAGCCATTTCTCCAAGTAACATAGGTGCTATTAAGTTAAAAAAGTGTGTAGCACACAAAAAAAATAAGCAGCTGCACAAAAAGAATTGCAGAACTGACTCAACAAACCACAGTAAAGTACTATTCCACGAGGTCCAAGAAAGGTGCTTACACTTAGTCCAAGTTTTATGAAATTCACAAGTTAATAATTCAGTTTTATAAATGTATTCAAAATAAGGCATTAATCAGCCAGGGGATTTGAAGGAAATAAATAAATTAACAAGAATAAACACAAAAGGCGCCTGCTCTGAAAAACAGGCTCATAAACACTATGTACAGAAATGAGTGCGCACAAGGCACTTTTAGTTTTTGTGGGGACCTGAAAAATGTTCCCAGAAGTAAAACAGTAACATGTTTTACCATGATTAGAGGACATTTGGCCCCACATTGTGGTAAATACAAACCCACACACACAGAAACACAAACACACACAAAGGTATGTCAATATACACTCACCTAAAGGATTATTAGGAACACCATACTAATACGGTGTTTGACCCCCTTTCGCCTTCAGAACTGCCTTAATTCTAC